ACAAGCTGCCAGTTCTGTTGGGGCCAAAGGCAAGTGGATGGAACCTTTATTATTTTACTGGCTGAGGGTTCGTGCGTTCCATTTTGTCAAAGATCCGTGGCAAATGGTTTCGTCCAAGCATAATGACCAGTTATATAAAAGAAGATAACGGCTATTGAGGCATACATATTCCCCATTTGAAGCCAAGTTAATGGCAAAAAATTCTTTTAGGATTATCGTTGAAGGACAGATAACAACCAAATTCGCATATGCTAAAACGAGAAGCAAAACCACCGGAAAAGGTTGGTTTATTAAAGCGAGTCGTACATTGCATGGAGGTATGGATATTACTGTGCTACTTCTGCTAACCAAGAACTCCACTACTCCTGCGGTGTATGTAGCCAGGCATTGTTTCTGTGCCATTTGCACTGCAACAGCATGAATGGCAAACGAACTAGTTGTGTATCAGGGAAGAGCCGTTGGTCAATGCCCTATTTTTTCGTAGAACGATAGGTGCCACCAAAAGTTTCGGCCGATAATCAGGTTCCTTGTTTGCCATCCGAGTAAATTCAGTTCCACATTGGTCAGGCAGTGTCTCTCAAAAGTGGCACATTAGTTCCGCTAAATTGTAAAAGAAGCTTTCAACGTTGAATTCATCCACACTGTAACTCAGTTTTCGTGTCACCGTCGAGTTGCATGGTGGCTTTTTACAAAGTACCGACTGATTCGGCATATTTATTATTTATTATTATTATTTTTATTATTATTTTATTATTATTATTTTATTATTATTATTATTATTTTACTGGCTGAGGATTCGCGTCTCAGCTAGATTTCATATTTTGTAACATTGTGCATTTCACTATTAACATCCCTAAGTCAAGCATCCCATATTTAAGCCGTCCTTCAGTAAAAGGCAGGTGGCGCAACGCCTTCTACCTGAGTTGTAAATCTTTTGATCGAATATAGATTTGGTCCTTGCGTTCCATTTTCTCAAAGATCCGTGGCAAATGGTTTCGTCAGGGTGAGTTTTGTCGCTCGGCAATTCTAACAACCATGTTTTGATGCTGTTTATCAACTTTTGGAATTAATGGCCAGCGAAAAATGAGCCACAGGAATAACCATTTGTTTGATCACAGTTAGTCCACTTGAGGTGCATTTCACACAACTGGACTGCTCATTTTTCTAAAATTTACCCACGCCACTGCGAAACAAATGCAACTAAAATGAACCGGATCTGCCTTCGAAATACTGCGATGTGTCAACGACCGATCCCAAACACAGCCATGTTGTTCGTTCCGCCACAGAGACCGGCATACAGGAGCGTTCATTGTGCATGTTTGTCCGCCCCGTACAACAATCCTTCATAAAACCGAGCTGGCTAAATTCCGTGGACAATTTCAGCCGGATAGCCTGGGCAGATCATGTTGCGACTAAATAAGGCCTCCTACGAGACGCAACTAAGGCCCGCGAAAGCGGAAAGAAACACTTAGGATCCAACCGTGAATGCTTGTTGTATGTGTGTTTGCTGGGCGAAATCAACGCTAAGTTGATGACCTGCCCTGTGAAGCACAGAAATTTTTTAGGCGTTTTTGGGATGCCATCACTGCAGGACCCCTTAATCGCTGAATTATTGCCAGCTTAAATCGCCGTAATGTGGATTTTACCTTTCCGTGTTTTTCTTGCCATTATGGGAACATTCCCGAAGGGTCGCATTTCTTCCCTGTGGCCAGTTACCCCTTATGTGTGCTGATACGTTTACTGCCACTTAAGTTTGTCTCTCTATATATATATATGGTTTGCTATTCCAGTATCTTGTCTTCTGCTAAAAGATTGGTTGGTTGCATTGCGTTTGCTCTTTTTACGTCACGTGTAGTAATTGGTCGTTGTGTCGATAAGTTATACTTTATCAACAACAGTAATTTTAGCTTACTCCTTATGGATCCCACGAAGTTAGAAGCGACTCTCAGCCAACACAACAACCACCACAGCCTAACGCTTTCTAAGAACCCACGTTACTTGTAATTGCGTAAATCCGGATATGAATGATTCATACAACACTCGGCATGCTGTATGTCTATGTGCACATTACCTACCGTGAACGTGAATGTCACTCACCAATGGCGACTGCAACTCCCAATTTTCCTGTGTAGCTTCCAGTTCACATGTCTTGAGCGCAACTATTTGCCCACGTTCAACGTCAATGCCGATGAGTAACAACGGTTCACCAATCTGCAGTTCAGCACAGCCTACTCTGCAGATAAATACATTTGCGCAATTATCACAGGCCGGTAGGCGCAAAATCCTCCAGTTAATCTATTAACTTTTTGCGTTTTGTTCTTGCAACATTCGGCCTAATCATCCGGAAGCTCAAAAGAGACGTTCATACACTCTGGTATTGAGGGCATTGTCAGTTTATCAGGTCGGGTGTCACTTCAGATCCTTAGCCGACATGAACATATTCTTGTTTAACGGATGGCGGTTCAATTTGAGAACGTACTGCCGCCCGCAACCAAGCAATCAGACAAAACGTTTCGCCGCAAAAATCTAGATAGCAGCCAGCAATCGTTCCGTCTCTCCAGAGACGTTTTGATTAAACGAAGCAATCCGTATGTACCCATGGAAGGCGAGAAATAGCCTGAGGAGCCTCCGTGGGCAGAAAGACAGGCCATTGCTCGCTACTGTCTTAGTTTTCTGGTGGTTTGAAGCTCAATATCTTAGTCCCAGCATTGCCGGAGTGCTGCAACCCGGCCATTGTTAATTATCAAAATGATTGCTAAACAGGATTCCCAAAAACACTACATGGGGAGATGCAGAAATTCGAACTATTATTTGAATAGTCCAGCAGAGTTGACGGAAGTCGGTAGAAGTGCTGTTGATAAAGAACTAACCGGGACGCGTATGGCAGGTCATATACTGGTGTTTGATTTAGGGATCCGCTGGCTATCCTGGCGAATGGCCTGCTCCCTACGTCTTCGGTCAAAGGTCTCGGTAAAAGGGGATCGTCGCTGACCCACTCTTCGGTCAAAGGTCTCGGTAAAAGGGGAATGTCGTATCCTGGATTTTAGCTATTTTACGCGCAGGGCTCCAAACGATTAAGTTAAAGAACCCTTACCGATCTTGACTTGGTGTCAAGTACATTACAGAGGCTGGCGGCATTTGTCACCACACAAAGGCCCAAGGTACTCCAACGGAAAATCTCTAGTTTTCGGATTGCAGTGAGGCGTGGGACTTGCGCACCCGCACCAAGTTTTATTTTTGCTAGAAGGTACAAGGAAGTAGGCAGTTTTCAACCAATATCGAAAGAGAACGTATGCAAGGTGTGACAAAGAGAGCACTGCAAAAATGTTCAGAGGAAACCCCGTTTGAAGGTATGTTTTGGGTTTTCATTGAATTCTATGCATTTAAAATTTATCAGCAGCACTCCTAATTAGCAATACTCTGACTCATTTCAGGCGCGTTTGTCACGACCGTCATTGACGTGTGGTTTAAACTACTTCAGGTTTACCTGGACGCAGTGCCCACCAAGCGTGGCAAGCAGCGAATATCTTCCACCTCAGTCTACAGAATTCCTGCCAGCTAACTGTTACCATCGATGCGCAGGTGTTCAGGGGTCATCGCGAAGAGAATGAACATGCTGTGCTGGTTGTGGCATTGGAACAGCAACAACGCTAACCGAGGACCCTAGTTGTTTAGGGAATTAGAGTTTTTATGGTACAAACTAGAACATTCAATGGGAGTATTGGCGGTGTAGAGCTAGTTTCACATAGATTGCTGTTGATGTTGTTTAATTCGTTGAAGAGTGAAAGAAATTCCACATTGTTTATGGAGGCGGGAAAGCACTGGAGGCGAACCACACTAGACATTTAATTTCACCGTTGAGGCAACAGACGGAACAATGAAAAATGTGCTTTTGATATGGCGCTTCGGAAGCTGAGCATTGGACGGATAATCACCACGATTTTAATGAGCAGCTGATACGTAGGCACGCTACTTGCTGCCTGAAATTTCTTGGAGCAGGGTGTTTGTCGTGTGCTGGTCTGCGGCGTACTCCCTCTGGTAAGGGATTACCTGGGTTTCGGAATGCCATCAGGAAACTAATGTTCTAGTTGCACTCTACTTTTCGGTCATTTCTGCCTGCCAAATTTCATTTGTTGTTACCGCAGTTTTGTGCCACCTCTCTCCAAAACAAACTTTCAGCAGCAGGGATTTTTCGCCCTTATCATATTGCCGCTTCTTTTTCTGTCAAACTTCCAGCATCCATTCGGAAAATATCACCCTTAGAAAGCCATGAACTAATCCCACAACACCAGTGCAGCATGGAAATACCTTCAGGAGAAACTGTTTGACGAAGAATGTGCTGCCAAATGGGTAGCACTTGCCACGCTCAAAACTTGGCTTTTGGTCCATGACCGGGAGCAGCCTTGCTTTTTTAGTAGACAGCCGTAGAACGAAATCCTGATCTAGCTATTCGACCACCAGCACTAACTTCTACCCATTCTTTTCACTTTGTTGCTATCAATTCATAATAAAAATGGAAGAGGAAAGTGAAGAAACGAAAGGAACAGTGGGAAGAAAAAAAATAAAAATCTAAATGCGTTTCTTGTTACCAAATCTACCTTTGCCCTTCATTTGGCTTACTTATACGCGTTTTGTGACAACGCCGTAATCAAATCACGGATTCCGCTGTCCTAAATAAACGACCACAGGCCATACCGACGGCAACGATCTGGGATTTCCGTTGATAGCAGCTCGTTGGATAGGCTCAGTGAGGGTTACATCCCTTTGTGTCGTGAGGAGGCAACTTGGTAGAGGTACTAAAGTGGCGGTATGGTGTAGGCTGCACAGAGTATCTGGAAGTTCATGTGGAACTTGGTGCTTAGCTAGTGAAATCCGATTTTGTCCAGGCGCATCTCACCCAGAATGTAAGAGGTCTTTAGTGTTTACACGTACAAAAGACTGAACAATATTCGACCTTAATGTGACGCCCCGGCGACTGAGAGCAGCGGGGCCATCGACCAATGGGCGTTCAGTATTTGTGCCAAACCGCTCGTTCTCTTAGTCGCGCCGATCGCCAACCCTGCAAATCTGACAATGTCACAAGAGGCCACGATGATCGCGTATGTTGTGCTTGGTACGGCGATTATTTTCTTAGTGTCGATGACAGTGACTTCATGCGGAACGGGGATTTCATGCCATCGCGTTTGCAGGCGCAAAACGATGCGGTGAGTCTCATATGCCAGAGTAAGCGCCAGCGTAATCCTGAGAATACGTTGGGTCTGATCTCGTTAGCCAACAGAGAGGTCCTGTGTACACTCACAAACGACTCGAGCAAAATATATAATCGTTTACATACCGTAGAACCGAAGGGCGTCATCAGCTTCTGCACAGCAATACGAATAGCTCATCTCGCCCTGCGCCACCGTCAACTGAGACATCAAAAAATGAGAATCGTCTGCTTCGTGGGTAGTCCAATATCAGATTCCGATAAATCAGTAAGTTTTGGTTTTCAGCGGTTATGTTTAGATGATTGATTTGGCGAAACATCTTAAGAAGGAAAAAGTCAGTGTGGACGTCGTGAATTTCGGTGAGAACGAAGCAAATCAACAAAAGCTCTCGGATTTCATTGATACTTTGAACGGGAAGGCCGGAGGGTCGTCTCACCTCGTTTCTGTTCCTCCAGGGGCGGTCCTCCACGATTCATTGGTAACTAGTCCTATAATTGCTGGGGAATTCGGTGGCACTTTGGCGACATCCGGTTTGGGACTTGGTTTCGGGTTGGACGCCAACGAAGATCCGGATTTGTTGTACGCTCTGAGGGTGTCTATGGAAGATCAAAGAATGCGCCAAGAACATGAGGTGAATGCTGGCCCCACTGGAGCTGCTGGTGCTGCCACGCTTCCTGGTATGTTGCTTTTGACTCGGTTAGTGATTAGCGTTTTACGGTGTAAAATGTGTTGTTCCTTTGCATGTTTGTCTATGGACTTAATCTGCTCATATGGATTTCCCCCTTGTTGTAATTATCGTAAATAAATAATGACAGGCGCACAACGTACTTGGTGTGCATTCACGTGAATTGCACCGTAACCGTTACAATCCGATAGTGCTTGAATCCACATACCGACATCGCTGGTAAGGTTTCGCCAGCCAGAATGACCGTCGGTAGCAGGTTTGGGCAACCTCACAGTACCTTAGCCCTCAGACCTTTTTGGGTGGCGTGGCAGCCGGGCTTACAAACGGTCTTACAGCTGCATTACCATTTTATTAGTGTTTTCCATTACATTTGTGTCCCGCTATCTAGCTTGTGTTGGCCGAACACATTCCTAGTTGAGCACTTGGAGTTAGTGGGAGCTAGAGGGGAGATGAATTTTTCTTCCAAGTTACTAGCATTTGCAAATTTGTAGAGGCAAGAATGTTGCCTTCTGCCGATAGATAAAATTGAACTGAACTTTCTAAAAGATCGTCCCCTTAGCTTGCATTACCGCGTCCACAAGATATCCTACTCGACTTAATGAACACGATGTTATCACCGTGTACGGCTTTTGTTGATATCAGAGAATACATATCCTCAACTGGCGATCATGATGACGGATAATGATTCGTTAATCGTTTAATTAATGGGCCATGGGATTGGCGGATGGTATTGGTTGACAGAAAAGCCAGGATGGCTCACATCGGGTGACAGCGATGCTCCACTTCTGCTGACGTGTCGAGTGACCAGAAAAAAATCGTCCAGCTGTAGCACCCTTTCGGTGCCTAACTGCCGTGCCACCCGAAGGTTGCACGAGGACTAAGATACTTTCAGGCTGCCCAAGCCTAGACAGGGCAAGTCGGGAGGCAGATGTTGGGTTCGAACCACGGACCTTCTGGTCAGTCAATTCGCCCTCTAACCAATTGGCCATCTCGCCTCTGATGATTCCATTCGTTCTGCATCCGTTTTGCAGGCAACCGCGTGTCATCCGGCGCTGACATCTCCAGACATCTCGAAATCAGTCTTCAGGCCACGACGCCGTCTATCTGGCTACATTCAATTTCTCTCTAAAGCATGCAGGTCATGCACCAAGCCGCTCTTGCCCTCATACTGGATTCGCTTGAAATTCATGTGTGCTGTGTATCAGAAACAGGAATTAGAGATACAAGCGCAGTGGTTGAGCTACCCCACCCCATCACCCTCCACTCGCCTCTGGCTGTGCACCTTTGGCAGTTTAGAGGCTGCTGCGGCAGGATGTGCACGGGTTAGTATCGTCCCTTAGTCGCCGGGCGAAAGCATTATCGGCTGACTGGATACCTGTTGATAGTCTACTCTGTGCGGTTCATCTGGCAATGTCTGTGAAGGAGTCTCACAAGGGGGAAATTGATCGATATCTTTCGTCGTGTCTGCTTAAGCCCCAACTGACTGCAGCTCTGATATCATCAAAGATGGGTTTTATGGTGCCCTGAAAACCCTGTTACAGCGAGCTTACCGCCTAGATATCGTTATGGTTACCGAAGATTTGAATGCACAAGTGGACAGGTTTATAGTATCTGAGTAGATTAGGTGGTTGACATTCGCTGAGCTCGATACGTACGAACAGTAGCGAACGGTTGCTTCAGCTATGTGCCGACCGCATGGTGTTTTATGCAGTACTTACTTTCGAAATAAGAGGTGCCATCTGGCCACATGGCGTCCTCTACCTGAGTGCGAGCCACAAAGCCGAATTGACCGAAGAAATTGCCTTCAGTTACCGATAGCGCGGGTCGATAACTGACTGCCGCTCGTTTTGGAACTACTTTATGGATTCTGACTACGCGCTCGTCCTTGTCACGAGTCACTTGTCCCTTCGTCTCCCGGGGCCACATACGTTGGGGAAAAATCGCCTGACAACTGAGTGGCTGGCAGATCCGGATGGTAGAATTTACCGGAACCGTCTTCTACAGTTTCTTCTGAGTGCTCCATCATCAGATGTGAACTTATGCTAGGATGAGATCGCCTCTCCGGTTGCCCAAGCCTAGACAGGGGAAGTCGGGAGGCAGAGGTCGGGTTCGAACCACGAACCTTCCGATCATTAAATTCGCGCTCTAACCACTTGGGCCATCTCGCCCCCAAAAGGTGGGCTTCAGATGCTTTATGAAGGGAATGGATAGGCTATTCCTCCCCAAAGTGGTCGTTTCGGACAATGAGCTGGGCAATTTTAATAATAGACTTGCCTTTTCAGGCAGCTCGGTAGTGGCCTCCTAAACATGAACGGTACGAGGCCCTCATCGATAATAGGAGTTAAACGCAATAAAGCACCCATTCTGGATGATTTGCCGCTTTCGCCCTCCATGGACGGAGGTGAAGTCTGGTATCCCTGTTTTCAGTCGTAACGAAAACAGAACATGCACTGAGTTGCCCTCTTTATGATTTCACTTTTAAAGAGACGTAGGGTAAGCGCATACTAGTTTTGATAGCAATAGTGTTTATGATGCCCTTCAGTGCCACGCCGTTTACCGGAAAGGACAAGATGTGTTTTACCTCGCTCAAGAAGAGTTGACAGTTTTTTCATCCGAAATGGTATCTGAAATACAATGATCGTCATCCTACATTTCAGATTGATTTCGACTGTCGCAAAAGCTGTGACCGTTTCAGCTATATTTTTGTCCCATCTAAGAGTAATGCACAAGCTATGGCTTGGCAGTGCATTAGGGTAGGCTCCATCAACTGCGCTGGTCGTTGGAGATCCAGAGACGGGGCAAACGAGGATGTCGCTCAGTTGCGCGTTATCGACTTCACCACAACTCTATTTCTCAACTAATGGATAGCCTGCTACCACTCTTGGATTCGTCTGTCAACGATGTTAGCTGCTGTTTTAATCCACAGCCATCTGCTCCTGCTTCCTACATAATCGGCTAACGAAAACGGCATCTATGACCACTGTACTATATGCCCACGATTTACTACTGCTGCTAGTGCTATTGATGGTGGTGGTAGTGCACTTCACATCTTCGAAATGTAAAGCGCTGATGCAAGATTGGATTGAAGCGAATTCAGGCCATACATTTTCTGACCTGGTAGATGAAGAAGAAGCTACACGCCAGGGTAGTTGTGTAAGTTTCTATGGATCGGCGGAGAGCGAAGCAACAGCCAAAATATCGGGACGGGCTTTACCAACCCCAACGTCTGCGTATACGGTGTTATGCGAATGTGTGATCCCTTACAATTCAAGGAGAACCACTGGAGATTGTGGAAAACTTCACATACCTCGGTAGTTGTATTAGCTCTGACGGAAGTGTGTCTGATGAAGTCAGT